GAGAAAGAGAAAGAGAAAGAGAAAGAGAAAGAGAAAGAGAAAGAGAAAGAGAAAGAGAAAGAGAAAGAGAAAGAGAAAGAGAAAGAGAAAGAGAAAGAGAAAGAGAAAGAGAAAGAGAAAGAGAAAGAGAAAGAGAAAGAGAAAGAGAAAGAGAAAGAGAAAGAGAAAGAGAAAGAGAAAGAGAAAGAGAAAGAGAAAGAGAAAGAGAAAGAGAAAGAGAAAGAGAAAGAGAAAGAGAAAGAGAAAGAGAAAGAGAAAGAGAAAGAGAAAGAGAAAGAGAAAGAGAAAGAGAAAGAGAAAGAGAAAGAGAAAGAGAAAGAGAAAGAGAAAGAGAAAGAGAAAGAGAAAGAGAAAGAGAAAGAGAAAGAGAAAGAGAAAGAGAAAGAGAAAGAGAAAGAGAAAGAGAAAGAGAAAGAGAAAGAGAAAGAGAAAGAGAAAGAGAAAGAGAAAGAGAAAGAGAAAGAGAAAGAGAAAGAGAAAGAGATTTATGATGCATTCAATGGTTTAAATATACACTCTCGGATGGCAGAGAAATAATGCAAAGGATATAATCCCTTTATATACTTGTGTGGGTACTTACAGATTGTACATTTCTTTAGCTTTATTTAAGCTTTAGAAAACATGAGATGATGAAAAACATCTAAACCCAAAATCTGTACATAAATCAAAAAGGCATTTTTGTATCATCAAAAAGCACAAATACATCATACACAGAAAAAACAATGAGGATACTAACCATGCACAGGATTGTAGAACACATGTCTTGCATTCTTGTGCGAATTGCTGCCCCCTACATCCCACAGCTCAACAAAGTAAGGCCTCTGACTTGGAGTTCCTTCACGGTACTCATGGACACGGACTTCAACGCTACATCCAATTGTCCATGATGAATTACTTAATGCCTGCCCATGACAGATGAGATGGACCAGTGATGATTTTCCAACACCTATATGTAAAGATAAATAAAATTAGATTTGCATAATGACACATTATTAATTGCAAGAAACTAGCTACCAATATACATTCTCTTCTAACATGTAAGAAATCTTTAGTTTAACTATTAGCATGAATCCTTTACAGTAAAGAAATTATAATGTATCCCTCAATTAGAATATAACCTGGACAAAAAACACAGAAAAAGAGAGAGATAGAGAAGGAGGGAAGGAAGTAAAGGGGGAGAGGGGGAGAGGGAGAGAGAGGGAGAGAGAGGGAGAGAGAGGGAGAGGGAGAGGGAGAGGGAGAGAGAGAGAGAGAGAGAGAGAGAGAGAGAGAGAGAGAGAGAGAGAGAGAGAGAGAGAGAGAGAGAGAGAGAGAGAGAGAGAGAGAGGGAGAGGGAGAGGGAGAGGGAGAGGGAGAGGGAGAGGGAGAGGGAGAGGGAGAGGGAGAGAGAGAGAGAGAGAGAGAGAATTACCAATAGTTTACTTCTGCTTATTTCTTGAACCAGTCATTTGTGATGGAAAACATGAACTGCTTTATGTGTTACACTAAGAATTACTAAAACAAAAACTAATAATTGGCTGGTTGTGTGAAATGAAAAAAACACCAATTCTCCATTACCTTTAACTTTATAGCAACTAACAGTACTAAGATTACTGTAAATGGTAATTCGGTCAATATATTGTATAAGGTAGTGGCAGAGTTGGGTAATAAAACCTACGTGAAATGATAGAACAATACAAACCAAGACAAAGTTCTTCTATGGCAATATGTGTGCAAATACTTCCCAAGGGTGCTAGACGTAAAAGAAAAGGGAAGAAGATGGTTTACTTTCAAAACAGTTTTGATATTTTTCTGCATGAAATCCACTGCTTTCAACGATTCTAGGCATTGTCTCTTGTGCAAATGGGCGACCTAAACCAACATCCAACCTAACCTAACACCGTGGTATATATTCCCTAGCAAGGGGGCTCTGCCCCCTGGACCCCCATGATAATATATATGTGCCTAGCACCCTTGGAAAGCATTTGCACACATATTGATAAAGAAGAACTTTGTCTTGGTTTGAATTGTTCTATCCTTTCATGTAGGTTTTATTACCCAGCTCTGCCACTACCTTATACTACATATTATCCGGTAATTCTTTTTAACAACTACATATAAATAAACCGATACATACTTATACACTCTATGGACTATGAATTTCACAGAACGCAAAACCAGTAATACCTAACTAATACAACTCTGGACGTCCAAATAGCAACAAAATCTGAAACCCAAATTCGTATTAGCATTACCTGAATCTCCAACAACTAATATTTTAACTTTATTAATCGCATTGGCATGATTAGCCATGGTAGTCCTCACGCCTCAAGCAAATACTTCTTCCTTTTCCTTCTTCTTCTTCTTATATCTCAACCATATATCCCCTGAGAAAAATTGAGACTTGCTGCTGGTGCTTCTTTTTAAATCCAAATTAGGCATTAGTCTTTTCATAGGAAAATTAATAGATAATAGTTTAAGTATTCAGCGGCGCGTCTTCCATCTCCTGTGAGTCGATCAGCTGTTGTTGACATGAACAGCTGGCAGAGGGTAACGGGCGCATATATTTATTTAGATTTTCTTATCAGTAACTAGATGGGTAAGATATATAAGTTATTTTGTCTTTTTTTATGTGATTATAAAGTTTTGTCCTAAAGTTCCAGGCCAAAGATATTTATAATGAGGTATGCAGTTTTTGGCCCAAAACATTTCAGATAATATTGCGTTTGTATCCCATGGCGCGGAAATTGCAGGGATTCAAAAGTTTCTTACTATAATTATCATCATTATTATGATTGTTATCTTCATTATTACTATCACTGTTATTATTGTTATCTCTATATATCTCTCTGTTATCTTTATTATTACTATCATTATTATTATTATTTTTATCACTATTATTATCATTATTATCACTATTATTATCACTATTATCGCTATTATTATTATTATTATTATTATTATTGTTATTATTATTATTATTATTATTATCATCATCATTATTATTATTATTATTATTATTATTATTATTATTATTATTATTATTATTATTATTATTATTATTACCATTGTCATTATTATCATTGTCATTATCATAGTTATCATAATCATTATTATAACAATAACAGTAATTATTAATGTTATCTTTGTGATTATCATTATCATTATTATTATTGTTATCCTTATTATTACTGTTATTACAGTAATTATTATTATTATTATCATTATCATTATTATTACCATTATCATTATTATCATTATCATTATCATAATTGTTATCATTATCATTATCATAATTGTTATCATTATCATTATCATAATTGTTATCATTATCATTATCATAATTGTTATCATTATCATTATCATAATTGTTATCATTATCATTATCATCATTATCGTCATCATTATTATCATTACTATTATTATTGTTATTGTTATTATTATTATTATTATTATTATTATTATTATCATTATTATTATTATTATTATTATCATTATTATTATTATCATTATTATCATTATTATTATCACTATTATCATTATCATTATTATCATAATTGTTATCATTATTATCATTATCATTATATATTAGCATTATTGTTATTATTATTATTATCAAATATAAAATCCTTATCAGCATCAATATTCTTATCTTTATTATAATTGCTGTTGTTTGTGTTGTTATTACAATTGTTAGTATTATCATTACTATTATCTTCATCATTATTATAGCAATCATTATCCTCACTGTCATTACTATTTGATTTATATAATACTACTCTTACTGTTATCACCTTTTTCATATATTAAGGCTATGGCAATTATCATAATCATCATTAGCATCACCATCATCATTTAGATGAGAAAATAACAGAAGATAACAGACTAATGCAGCATCGTCTTAGAGAACAAAAACTTGGATGCAACAGCAGTGTCATTTAATAAAGCAATATTGTTTGGAAGCAAGTTCGACGCCATGGCCATTTGGGAGATCAACGGAAGAAGGAAAACTGGTTAGTTGATCAAAGAAAAGGTTAAAATGGCCGCTCGGAATTGTAAAATTGAAGGTGACAGATACATTCAAAATGCCAGAGCTATGTGCATGTTTGGAATTACACGTGGTTAGTGCACCGACCATTCGATCATGGCCAGGATATATATATACTAATTTAATCAACGAACAAACTTAATGTGGTGAGCAGTTTGGACAGCACCCGCCCCGGAAGTGCCAAAACTACACAACTTGGAAGTTTGGGAAAAATATAGGATACCTTGATGGCATCAGCAGAGGCGGGTAATTGACACTTATTAAATGAAAAGGCCGGTTGTAAAGCTGAACGTCCAGATAAAATCTATATTGGTTCTTAATATTCGGAGGAGGCAAAATAAAGGAACAATGATTAATAAAAATAGTCTCATCATTAAAAAATAAATCTACATTTCTTTAAAGAACAGTAATCAACTTCATCACGTTGGTGCCAGCCAAGAAAGACTAAAATTCACTTTATGTCACAAAGCATTCAATCTTAACAATTTTAACAAGTCTGTCGAACAAACTTTCGATAACACTGTATATAGTCAGTAGTAGAAATAGAAGCGGGTAGTTTGGAAGCACGTCAGCATGCTGCAAAGCTACTAAAAAAAAGAAAAAGAAAAGAAAAAAGAAAAAAAAGCCAAAAGAGGAGACCAAATCTCCTATCAAAAAGGAAGGTTATACCATGTGAATTTAAGTTCACAAAGCAGCACGTAAAGTTAGAATAATTTGAATGTATCAGAAAAGGCATTTCAGTACTTTGCTTTTATGAGTAAAAATAATAATAATAATAATAATAAAATATGAACCGAATAGGCTAAATATCCCATCTGCCGCCACAATAGATTTCAAAGAAACCCACTAGTCCAAAGGTGATGGGTATATTAAGTATTTCCTTTAAGGCATTGTTGTAATGCACTTTTTACTCGTCTGCAATTCTGCGGATGTTGCAGCATTCCCCGAACTCACACCAGTACGAGTTAAAGATCGCAACTGGTGGTAAGTAGCTCGCACTATTTTGTTTATCCCAGAAAGCTTCTCTGCAATCATCGGTAAATCATTCTTTATTTTTCGAGTGAAATCTTATTTTTTGAAGGACCTCTCCTAATAACTATATTGATAAGAGGCAAGGGTAGCTATAGGCCAGTTAGCCTATATTCACAACTTAGATATTGATTTATACCTTTCTGTTAAGATATGACAAGAAGCGATTCTTATTTTGGCAGCCTTTGCAAGACATTGTCTCGGGATAACGGAATTTCCGATTATGATAACTATACTTATGAGGATGATGATTGCGACGATGATGATGATGGTGGTGATGGTGATGGTCATGATGGTAAATGCAATGATAATAGTAATAATAATAACAATAGTAATAATAATAATGATAATAATAACAATAACAATAATAATGATAATAATAACAATAATAATGATGATAATAACAATAATAATGAGAATAGAAAATAAAAACAGTAATGAGAATAATGATTATTATAATCATCTTTGGCATTAGTTTTGTTATTACTGTTATCATTATTCTTATCATTACCATTATTGCCATCATATTTCTTCTTTTTATTATTATTATTATCAGCATTATTATTACTATTATATTTTCATTACAATCATTATCATTATAGCCATTATTACCAATGTTATTAATATTACTGTCATTTAATTAGTGTTATAATTATTATCACCCTAACAAGGTAAAATGACATTAACAAGGACAATATAAAAGTTTTAATCATAGCCAGTAATTATAACGATGAAATCTGTTTATTACAGAAATCGTCGTTTTCTGTTTTTTTAAAACAAGCGATGCTGGACATTTTGATGAAATAAAAATCCTTTGAAATCAGCCAGTTGTGTTATTCACAATCCGTTTAGTTTATTGTATTTAAAATATTTCGAAAAAAAATATACTATGGTCACTTTTCGTAGTTATTTTTGTGGTAAATGATTTTGGTGCCGAAAAGGCTCTCTCAGCGTCTAAACATGATTATTATGTCATTATTACCGGGAATTCAGGGATCCTGAGAGAAGAGATACAATGACGAGTATGAATATATGATGATGAAGATGATGATAATGATAATGATGATGATGATGATGATGATGATAATGATAATGATAATGGTAATGGTAATGATAATTATGATAATGATAAAAGTATTGTGTATATATATATATATATATATATATATATATATATATATATATATATATATATCTGTATATATATATATATATTCATGTATATTTATCTATATATATGTATAAACATATATATGGCAAGCAGTATTACTATGTAAACAATGGAGGGAATATAACATCACCTAAATTTACACACGTTACATTGCATGGACTGCACCTACAATATAAACTCAACAGTACTATAAAGTCCGAGGCAACATAAGGGGCGTGTGGACGACGACGTCACCGGGCATGGTCAGATGAAAGTCAGATGAAGAGAGAAAGTGAAGTCTTCATTCACCCGGAGGATGGTAGAGGGAAACTACCTCCGTATTATCCCTTGCCCAACCATGAATGACCAATGAAAAATGTCAAACAGCAAAGACATGGTAGCCAGCGACAGTTTCTGATTCGCCTCGCTCTCCCGACGCAGCGTGATTGCGAAGCGACAGGAAGCGCTCTTTCCATGCCGACCTTTCCGTTCCTCCCTTGGAAGAGCTCGTTTCCCGAAGGAGGTATCGTTTCCTATCGGCACCGCAAATAGGAGTTACTTCTCCCTGAGCAGAATTCCGAAGAGAACTATTTCATTTCGAACTTAGTTTTGCGGCGCCCAGCAGCAGTCTCTTCCCTCCACTGTGGCGTGCAGCCAAACGTTTATAAAGTACAACAGGAATGTACAAGGCTCGTCGTTTCTTTTTCGAGGCCAAGGAAATGATGGCACCTCGAGGGCGTTTGTCCTGACCACCTGTGTCTCGTGTCCAGCAAGCAGTCCCTCTGAAGCAGGACGAGAAGACCGCTCAAGGGCTTCCAAGGCAGCGCGCCCGCAAGGATACCGGCAGCCCCAAGAAGCAGACTACCCAGTGTTAACGCTTCGAGCGCCCATCGGCGCTCGGCGTGTGTGTATGCTGGCAAACCCGTTTAATTTTCCTTTGAAAGGAAATAAAACAATATGTATTCTTTTTGTAGACTAGATAGTTCTATAAAGAGTAAAGGTGACGGTAATCTCGAAAATATCATCGGAAAATGAAGTAATTTATGCCTGTGAGAGAATTTTAGGGGTAAAACCGAAAAGGGGTGTTTAGCAAATTTTCCAGTTATACCACTGCCAGTCCTTGGCCTATTAGGGTAGACCGAGATGTAGCCGAGACCGGGGAAGATCATGAATTCAGGGAATATATTGATTTTATATCATAGTCTACGCATATAAAATTGCCAGGCGAAATAAGATTACATATACTGCATCACATATATAAGCTAGTTATTCAGTGAATCACATTTTTTGCTGA